TCATTCATAGCTAAATGGATGCATATTGAGGCCATACTCTTAAGTGAAATAAATAGGACACACGTGTAAATACCAAATAGTATCTCTAGTGTGAGAAACTGAAAGTGTAAATAAGGATAAAAGTGATTAAAATGAATAACTGATAATTTGAAATAGGAAAAGGTCCAAAGGTGGAGGGGTGGCGGGAGAGGAAGGGGAAAGGGAAAGGGAAGAAAGGAAAGGAAAAATTATGTGAAAGAAAAAAAAAAAGGAAACAAAGTCTATGTAAATAGGGAAGGGTGGTGGGGGTGAAGGGTGCACAGGTAATAGGGGAAAAAATAAGAACTAAGATACATCATGTTCAGGTACAAACACCCAATGATAAATGTAAATGCAGTGTATACCTAAAATGTACCAATTAATATACAAATTAAAAAAAAGATAAATGTAACACACAAAAAATAATTTAAACACCTAGACTTACATTAAGTTGCTTTTTTTCAACAAGAATATACTTTAGATTACATTTTTTCATAAAATGTGTTGATAATGATGGTGGTGAATCTGGATCAATAGGAGCATATGCAGCAGGAACTTGGAGTATTCTAAAGAAATAAGTACAGAATCAGCATTCTCCAAGCATTTCTATTTCTCTATGCACTTTGTTTACTTCATTAAAAGTTACCTATGTTTTCATGGATTCATCTTTGCTTATAAATATTATTATTTTATGTTGGTCTTAATGAACATTCTGAGTACTATAAAATTCTGCCTGGGCCGGGGATTTAGCTCAGTGGTTCGGCTGCCTGCCTCACAAGTGCAAGGTCCCGAGTTCAATTTCCAGTACCCAAAAAAAATTCTGCCTTATCACCAAAGAGAAATACAAGATATTTTAAAAGCTCGTGTATTACGTGACCACTCAAACAGGGATGTCTTTCATTTGCTTGTGCAGAATACCACAGAAAAAGCTATCTACATACAACTTACTAGTATGCAGACTGTATATAGGCTATCAGGATCTGCATACTACCAAAGATGTTATCACCAAAATCAGGATACTCAGAAGGTGGGAAGAATCACCTTTAAATACTTGTATAAAGCAATACTTATATAAAGAATTTGATCAAAGATCATTTAGCCATTTTAGGCATTTGGAAGTACACACACTTTGGTGACACTAGATCTTTGCTTATGGTAAATTCTAAGTAAATTTTGGTTAATGATTGAATAAATTTTGACACATATTTTACTTTACTGTTACATCTACTAAAAATGTATTGTGGGATGAATATCAACTTGTCTAATTCTTTGGCAGCTTTTATTTACTGTAGAGCTCTATTACAGAAATCACTACAAGATAATAATATTCTAGAACAATTTAACAAATATTTGTTTGAATAAATGTCTTTCAATGGGTTCATATATCAGTTTTAATGGACCATTATGTAATACTCTCAAATATTCATTCATTTTAGCACCTAAAATTTCAATCTCAGGGCACAAAATATAAACATGATATTTCTGAAATCCTATTTTCTTGATCTAACAACAAATTGTTTAAAATTATTATTTTTGTTTTCCTTTGACAAACAGTACCTTTATGTTTTGGAGATACATATTTTTCTATTAGTAAAAACTCCTAGCCTCTTCTAAATACTCAGATTAATCTAAATGATTAAAAAGAATACTAAAGCAATATGAACTTCTTTTGCCTCTCTAGAATTAACCAAGAAACACAGAAAAATCCAATAATAAAATAACCTGTAATATATCTATGTATTAAAATTTATAAATTAGCACACAGTAATAACGAATTTATAATACTGAAAATTATTACCCTAAAATCCAAGAAGGTAAGTTTATCCCAGGTTGGCAGTAGAGACCGATTTCCCGAATTCCTTGAAAGTCACAGTGTAATCTCAGAAAATGTGATAATTCTGAAGCAGCATTGATCACAGTCTTGTAAGTATAATAAACTGGAGGCTGGTTGTTACATTCATCAAAGGATACAGCTGTTTTGTCCAAATAAAGGGAAGCAGCCTGATGTACCAATTCCTGAAGAGTCATTTCACTGAAGTTCATCTACACATCGATTGCTGAGAACTCTAAGCATATATAGAAATGTTAGAGGGAGTTTCAGGGAACATGGTTGGAGGGAGGCTTCTCTATAATCACTCTCTCGCAAATAACTACATCAAAGATATATGCCTGAAGAAGCTCTGAACTTGCAAAATGTCTATGGCGACTTTGTTGAGAACAATGAGACTGAAAATTCATTTAATAAAGTCAAACTAACCCTGTATCTGAGCTTGAAAAAAGTTTGAGAGTGAAGTGACACACATAGGTGATAATGAAACAGGTAGAAATGTAGACTTCTTTTTCAACTGACCACAATGTATTGTTTTTTTCAATCAACATTTTATATGCTTTATTGAAAGTTGACAAGTGTAACAGTTAAATACAGAGACACCTTACAACTGTGTAACAAACATGCACAGAAACATATCCATATGACTACTATACAGGTAATATGCAGAATCCTACTGGGGAAATTGATTCATTAGCTAGAATTGATCACTTTTCAAAACACTGAACCAGCTCAATCAAAAAACTTCAGAGAACAGAGATTTACTTTAAGATGTTCAGCAGCTATGTTTCAGATTACACAAAGTGACTGTGCAAAATTCTTAAAATTTCTTCTGGTATGGTTTGTGTTAGATAGTTTTCATGTAGATCTCTATATAAAAGATAATCTACACCTCGTCAAACAGCCAATGAAACATCTAAATTTCAATCTCTACAACCTAAATAGTAGTTACAGTCCTCTACTGTACAAAAGTTATACTATATACACAAACATACAATAAGCAAAACAACCTTCATAGTAAGACAGCCTAAATTCCAGCTACCTGTCATCATTTTCCCACTAATAGTTTTGTGTCATCTGTTGTTTCAGAAAAAGAGGCATAGTACTTTTTTTTTCAATGTATTTAGGTGACAGTCATCAGTTTGTACAATAAACTGCATTCCCCCTCATTTGTCTTATCTCTTTCCTCCCTTTTAAGTTCCTCATGGTGGGAGAAGAGAGAGCAAGGTCTGGGTTGAGACAGGGTCTTGCTATATAGCCCAGGTTGGCCTCAAACTTTCGGTGATTCTCCTGCCTCAGCCTAGAGTGCTGGGATTACAGGCATGTGGCACTGCACACTGCAAAAAGGAAATATAATTTTAAAAAAAATTAACAAGCCACTGGGCCAGGGATTTAGCTCAGTGGTTTAGCTGCCTGCTACACAAGAGCAAGGACCCGAGTTTGATCCCCAGTACCAAAAAAAAAAAAAAAAAAAATTAACAAGCCAGGCATAGTGGCACACATCTGAAATCCCAGAACTTGGATCCCCATGAGTTTTAGGCCAGCCTGGGCCACATAGTGAGATCCTACCTTAACAAAACAAAATTAACAAAACTACAAAATTTAAAGGATAACTCAAATTTTTCATTTTTCTTCAGTTACTGTTACAGACTAATTTAAGACAAAGTGATCAAAATCCTACATGGTGACTTTAAAATTTCTAAAGTAAATACATTCTGCTTTTAAATTCCTGTGGTAACTGAACTTAGGTAAAGCAAAATCAGTCTTAGAAAAAGAAAAGAGGGCTGTGGATGTAGCTCAGTAGTGCCATGCCTGCCTGGTAAGTGCAAGGTCCTGAGTTTGATCCCCGTACTGGAAAAAGAAAAGAAAGAAAAGAACCTCCCCATCCATATAGTTTCAGATCACTATATACAAAAATACTGCTTATCATTAATATATTTTACAGAGGTCACTTTTGTAATAAGAAGTGAGCTCTTCATACTATATTGTACTTGAGTTTTAAACTGCAAAAAATTCACTTAAATTTAGACTCTAAATATGGATGTATAATTGCATGAAGTATTTCAGTACATCAATGCAATGTTTTTTGGGCTTCTCAGTGCAGATTAGAAAAAAAAAAACTAGTTGGCTAGGCATGGTGGCAAACACCTGTAATCCCAGCACTCAGGAGGAGAAGCAGGAGGATCACCATGAGTTCGAGGTTAGCCTGAGATACATAGTAAGTTCAAAGCCAGCCTAGACTACATAGTGAGACCATGTCTCAAAAAAACAAAAAGAAAGATAAAAATATTTTATTTCATCAGTGAAGCATTAGGGATCAATGATAATAAAAGTGGGCCGGGGATTTAGCTCAGTGGTTCCGCCGCCTGCCTCGCAAGCTCAAGGACCTGAGTTAGATCCCCGGTACCAAAAATTTAAATAAATAAATAAAACTCACAACTGTTAGTGTTTCCTTGAAGGTGAAAGTTACTTTCTTCCCTCTGAACTGTATTTTCCATATTCCAGAGCAAATAAGCTTTATCTGATAGCCTCTTTTATTTTATTAACTTATTATTATTATTAATTATTTTGGTTTCTTGACAGGGTCTCCCTACATAGTTTTGGCTGGTCTTGAACTATGTAGCCCAGGCTGGCCTCAAACTCGAAATCCTGCCTTGGCCTCCCGAGTGTTGGGATTATAAGCATATGCCATCAACACCTGGCTGTAGTCTATTTTAATTATTCAAGTTTTTTATTGAACTCATTTTTATTTAAAGTTTTTATTTAAACTGATTTCCTTTGTGATTCAAACATGTCACCTGATTAACATCAATTAGACCAAATAAAACAATAAACAAGCAAATATTATAGTGTTAGACTCTTTTTGTGATGATAAAAGTTTAAGTTTTCCTTGGGCATAAAAATGGTCATTATATAAATACAGTTTAAGAATCACAGAATGTATTACAGTTATGGAGCATGAGTTTATTTCACAACGTGAAGTTAGTGCAGAAGGGTGCATTCTACTACCCTCTGCTGCACATGATTATTAAATTCACGCACTATGTAGTGTATTACACTAAGCCATTTTTACAAAAATTTAGTGTATATACAAAGATGCTTTTCTCCCCTTGAATGCAACAGTTAATTTCCCACAAGAGAACAGACTAATATATTATCTCCTTAAATTAATTCACATCAAAGGGCAGGATTATAAATTCTGAAAAAGGAAACGCCACTTTTACGACAAATTATAACTCACCACATGTATCTGTGCAATAATTAAGATGTTTTTCTACATTTAATTTCCATTTTTCAAGTGGCAAAATCCAGTCTTGTATCAGGTTTTCATTTTCATTCACTGAATCATAAATATGTATTCTCTACAACAGAGAACGCTCAACTTATTAGATGCCCAGACACTTCGGGACCTTGTAAGAAACAGCAAAATCTGGTAAACAAGTTTTATATGCAATAGTATCAAATTTAGGTTATTTACTACTTTACACCTCTAAAGGCTATTAGTCACCAAGATTCTTAAGTCAATAAATTCTGTTTTAGAGACTCTCCCTAGGTTATTGGGTATTATAAAGATGGTTAAGAAACCTAGGGATTTTATTTTCCCTTCTCCATCTGAGCCTTACATTATGAAACTACGTTTAATAGCAATGCACTTCACAGCTTCCAAAACATTGTTTCACGGGCATTTCTTTTCTTTTTTTTTTAATTTTTGGTACCAGAGATCGAACTCGGGACCTTGAGCTAGCGAGGCAGGCGACGGAACCACTGAGCTAAATCCCCGGCTCACCTGCCTTTCGAAACATACAAGGAGGTAGGCGAAGCAGGTTTGCGTCCATTTTAATGGAAAAGGAAAGCGAGGTACTCAGGAGAGATGACAGGGGTCACATTCAGTCTGCACTACTCCAGCCCGCCTCAAATCCTTGGCCAGGCGGTGGTCCTGACATCGGGCAAACCTGTGCAGGACACCTGGGGCTCAGCACCCTTTGCCTGACTCTCACAGACCTCACAGGACACCGCACAATGCTGGGACTCACTCACATCGTCTTCCCAGGTAGGTTCCACTCATCCGGACCTTTTTCCGACAGTCAGACTAGGACCCTTGTCACAGAACAGCAGCAATCACCGAACAGCCGTAAAGCAATCTTGCCGCGCGACGCGTCCCGTAAACTTTTCAGTCGCATCGTGACGTCACGCTTGCGACGCCGGGCATAGTGTTGCGGGCCCCGCCCCTCTTCAGGGTTTCCAACGGAGAGAGAGGAGCTCTGCGTTCCCTCAAGGCGCAGTTTTCCGCCCCGACACCCGTCTGTTCCGCTGGGCTTTGGTCAGGGTTTCCAAGAACTTTGGCGCTGACCGCACCCTTTCATATTTGCCAAAAACTTTTGGGCAAGATTCTTAAATTGTGAGCTGCAATTCCCTCATTCACAAAAGTGGGAATAAAAGTATCTCCTCAGGCTAATGTGAAGAAATCACTGTGAAATAGGAGTGTGACTGGCCTCAGTCACTCTGAGAAGCTGCCCAAGACTGCTGGGGACTCTGAGTGCAACGATGCATCTGCAAACTAAGTATCTGTCATAATGAAGACATGTTAACGGGAAGGAGAGCAGAACAATAAAAAATCTGCAGCTTTGCAAAAAAAACAAGTCTGAGGTAGAGAGAGTTCCCCCAAGGTAAAGTTGTATGCTTGAATAGAAAAGTGTCTGTTTCCAAGGGAGTTGTTATACTTGGAGACATGTGAATTATCGCGATGTTGAGTGAATGGTAGGGAGCAAAGAATTGGGGACTTTTTTTTTCTTGGCAGGAAAGGTGGCAGGTCAGTATCCACAGCACTTGAAAAAGCATGTCACTTTAAGTGCTGGTGACAAACTGTTTCACTAATTCAAGCAAGAAATACTCCAGTCGGCAGCCCACTTTTTCTTTTTCCCAAGCTTCTCAAACATGGCTTTCTTTGTCTTGGTGGAGAAGGGTCCCCAAATGTGCTTGTCTCTTATGTTGGGAATGACACAATCATCTACCCAGCAAGCTCTTAATCTCCCCTCTTTAACTCTGATTTAGACCCTATGCCCTTCACTTCCTAATCTCTAAACCTGCTATCTGCATCCGAAGTGCCTGAGGTAACATTTTAAAATTTGTTAGTACGTTTGCAATTCATGCAGCTTACAATCATCTTGAGAGCGGTTACATGTATATAGTAGCTTCTTTTTTAAAATTTCCTTCCCCCTCCCTCCCCTTCCCACCCTTTTTCATACTTGTTGATATTGTCTTAGTTCATGTTATGGTGCAGTGTTTACATTAATTTGTTACTAAGTTCCTGTACACGGCATATCTTTTATTTCCCCTCCTCACCTTTGTTTCCTTGGATCACTTCTGTGTTGTAAATCTGCCCCTTGTCCTATCCATCCTAAATCATTTTTTTTCTTTGTACTTTTACTCATTCAAATGAGAGATATCATATAGTATTTAAAATTGTGTGTCTCGTTTGTTTCACTCAAGATTATATTTTCCAAGGGCATCCACTTTCTTACACGTCTCCAATTTGTCACTTTATAGTCAAGCAGTAAGCCATTACTATATAGATACCACATTTTCTTTATCCAATTATTTGTTGATGGGAATAAGGCTGATTTCCAAGATTTAGCTATTATGAATTATGCTGCTATAAACAATGGTACGTAAGTATTTCTGCAGTATGATGACTTAAGCTCTCTGGGGAAGACAGCTAGCAGGATACCTGGGTTGTATGTAATTTCTAATTCGAGTTCTTTAAGAAATCTCCATACAATTTCCCTAAGATTGTACTAGTTTACATTCCCACCAGTAACGCTGGAAGGTTCCTTGTTCACCAGTCAACTCAGCATTTGTTGTTTGATTTGTTAATGATTGCCATTCTTTCCAGAGTAAGATGGAATCTTAGGGTTGTTTTAATTTGCATTTCTGTAATGGCCAGTGATGTTGAACATTTTTTCATGTATCTGCCGGCCATTTGTGTTTCTTCCTCTGTGAAGTGTCTGTTCACTTCTCTTGCCCATTTCTTGACTGGGTCTTTAATTTTAGGTTTTTTTTTAGTTCTTTGTATATTCTAAATATTAGGTCCTCTGTCAGAGGAGTAGCTAGCAAAAAAATTTCTCACTCTGTAGGCTGTCTTCACTCTGATTCTTTTGCTGTACAGCAGCTTTTGGGGGCAGGGTTTCCGGAAATTGAACTCAGGACCTTGCGCTTAGTGAGGCAGGCGCAGTGCCACTGAGCTAAATCCCCAGCCCCTGTACAGAAGCTTTTTAGTGTGCTACAATCCCATTTGTTGATTCTTGCTATTTCTTGTGCAATCGAGGTTCTGTTTAGAAAATCCTTTCCTATACCTGTCTTCAAGTGTTTTACCTATTTTATCTTGCAGAGGGTTTAATGTTTGTTTTAATATTTAGATCTTTGATCCATTGATTTTTGTTTTTGTTTTTGTTTTTTTTTTGGTACCGGGGATCGAACTCGGGTCCTTGCACTTGCGAGGCAGGTGGCGGAACCACTGAGCTAAATCCCCGGCCCCAGCCATTGATTTTAATTTAGTATATGGTGAGAGATAAGGGTCCATTTTCATTCTCCTGCAGATAACCAGTTTTCCTCAACACCACTTGTTGAATAGGCTATTTTTTCCTCCAACACATGCTTTGGGACCCTATGTCAAAGATCAGACAGTTGAATATGTCTGGGAATGTTTCTGTATCCTTGATTCTATTTCATTGATCCACTTACCTGTTTTTATTCCAGTCTGAGGTGGCATTTTACAAGGCAGATTCCTGAAAGACTCTGAATTAGCTTAGTGAAGGACCTAGAAATTACATTACTTAAATGTCATCTTCATCTCTACTACTGCTGCCTTGGATCAGGAGTTCTTGTTCAGCCCCCCCCCCCCCAGATTTAGTCTTCCTTGGCTCCAAGTGACTGGATTGCTGCCAGAAGGATCTTTTACTATGAGATCTTTTTAAACTCCCTTACTAATAGTTCTGAAGCGTTTTCCCCTCTTATTTCCCTTAAATTTGTTCTTTTCCTTCTATTATTTTGGGCTCTTTCACAGAAATATTATAGTCAGCTTACATTTCAAAGCTGGAGCCCACTGTGGTGACACTCACCTGTAATCCCGACACTCTGGGAGGCTGAGATAGGAGGATTCCAAGTTTGAGTCTGTGTCTCAAAATAAAAGAAGGGCTGGGCTCTTCCACTGTATAGTGCCCCTGGGTTCAATCGCCAGTACTGCAAAATTAATAAAAAGTTAAAAGCTGAAAGATCTGAGTCCATCAGACAAGTTTGCTGAAAATTAAGTGGGAGAAAAGGGGGTAGGGAGACTCAATTTAGTATTATTTTCACTTAATTCTCCTCTCTCAGATGCCTGGTGTTTTCCAACACAGACTTTTACTCTCTCCTGAAGAACAAAAAGCCCTCAGAATTCAGCCAGGGAATAGGTGGGTGGTAAAAGTATATAAATCATTCCTAAATGAATTTTAAATCCTTTTAGCTGCTGTCTTCACCCTTATTTCCAGAAGCCAGTTTCTAAGTTTAGAGGGTTCTGTGACACAAACAGAATTAACTGTTGACTCTACTCAAGATTGGTTAAGAATTTAGCGCTTCCAAATAGCTGAACCCTTTGCTATTGATTCTAGCACTTTCTTCCTATTATCTTTTTTCCCTCTACCCTAGAGGGTCTACTACTCTTTAAAAATCCCTTTATTAGAGGTTAGGAGTACAGCTCATTGGTAGAGGACTTTCCCAGCATGCAAAACATTCTGGGTTTGGTCCCCAGCACTGCCAGGAACAAAAGACAAAACCAAACAAAAAAAACCCTTTACTGTCATTTTCAGATCTGAAGAGGGAGTAAATGGAGAAGACTGTGTTCAAGACACTTTTTGACCTGGTAACTCAGACCAGACCATTCTAAAACATATCCCAGCTCAAAGTAGTCTCCTGCTATGAGAATAAGAAGCTTCAGTGGTACTCCTTGCCTGCATCTTAACATTCAGACTCTAGCAAAGTAAACAAGTGTTCTAGAACGACTGGTCCTAGTTGATAACTGGCCACAAGGCACCTTCAGGCTGATAGTAGCAGACTGAGGTTGCAGAGTGCAATTTACTGGGGACTTGCTGACAAAGGAAACATGGTCCTGGGCAGCAAGGAGACCAGTGGCTCCTCCAGATTTGGGTCAGGAGACTTAGGGTCAGAACAAAAGTGACTTCATCCAAATTAAAATGTACCTAGTTTACCTCAAGCTAGTACCAAGGATGTTGGGCACATTTCTGGAGTGGATAGTGCCAGCGTCCAACATACACTGAATGAATGGTTTTGTCTATTTTCAGCATGCTGTGAAAAACATGCAGGGAATAAAGACTAGGGTCACTCACAGCAGTCACAACTCCAGATGGCTGCAGTCAGCTCAGGCTGAATCCCTACATTAAGATAGTTCATCGTCTATCCTGATCTCTCACAGGCCACTGCTTCCTTCCCTCCATGCTGCACATTCCCACACCTGTTACTGTAAGCTCTAACCATGAGAGGCTGTAAGTCCTCAGCATACCAAGTCCTTGTTTCACACCTGTATTTTAGCTGGGTCTCTGGCTGAAATCCCCTTCTCTTCCTATGACTATGTAATGAAAACAGTTTAAACATCACCTGTGTTCCTTTCTTCCAGTCCTTCAGAATTCACCCATCTTCCTCTAACCCCTATCCCACAAACCAAGCACATTTTGAGGAGGAGCTGTCACTGGCAGAGTATCCCTGCAAACTTTTGTTAGGTATTATGGCAAGAATGCAAAGCCCTGACTGCTTTTTTTTTTTTTTTTTGGTTTAAACAATTTATTTAACCCTAGTGTTATAGCTTATTTCCACTTATTTTCATATATCCTTTCCCATGTTGACACAGAGGGACTCTCTTCAAGCAAATATAAAAATTTCATAAGTATCTGGCCAGTTAGTTATACATCTGCTGCACAATGCCTCACATCTTTCAGCAAGAGAAACACAATATGAAGAGCATGCGTGACACAACTGGGTACAATGAGCATCTGCTCTAAAGCATTTATTTCTCTTAAGGTGAGGGCACCACACCCCTAATTTTTACAATTCCAAGGACCTACTTTCACTTTTAAGCAGTACTGGGTAGAGAACCCAAGGCTGAGAACACCTTACCCACTAAATAGGTGTTGAACATCCCAGCTACATCCCAGCTTATGCATGAACTCAAGGAACAGGTTCTAATAGCTCAGGTTCTTTTCCACTGGTCCTCACAAAGTGTGCTTCTTTTGAGTGAGGCAGGCTGGTGCCTCAGTTGAACCCACGTACCTCTTTGGCTTCCTTCTTTTTCTGATCCTTTTCCTTGATGCATTTCAGGAAGCTTTCTTGGGTCTTAAGAGTGCTTAATATGCTACTCACATTAATTCTCTTAGCAAGAATTTTGCCCTTCCTTAACTTGCTTGTTTACAACAAAGCCAAGAGCATGCTGGGTAACAGACTTCTGCAGTTTTGCCATGGTAACATTTGTGTGGTATTCCTTTTTGAACAGCACCCATTCCCTTGATGTCTACAATATCACCCTTTCATAGAGCTACATGTGGCCAAAGAAACAATCCCATGTTTTTTGAAAGGTCTAGAGAACATATACCAGGTTTCTCTCCTCTTTCCCTTTGTGTTCGTCATTTTGGCTAATTAACAGAAGATGGTGATTCTGGCCGAAAGGGCCTGTCTGCACTTTATCCAGGTCATTTTCAGGGTTTTTCTGAGTCGTAATTTCAAACTTAAAGTTAGTATCTTCCCTAGTCAGATCAAGCTTGTTCTTACTATAAATAGTACCTATCACTCTCCCATAAGACAGCTCACACACATCTAGGCCTACCCTTGTGGGATCTGGGGCCATGGGAAACATGCTAACAGGGAGCTCTCATTTTGCCATGAGTAATAAAGTTTCACTCCAAAATCTCTTGCCTGCTGCCCTATAACAGTAACAAGCTATCTTCTCTTTCACAGGTTATACTCCCAGAGCCTTTCTCCTAAGGTGATATGTACTTCTCACAGCACCTGTAACAGCTGCACTATTTCCATGCCTGACTTCTTGAATTCTGAGTACTTTGACAGCAGAGATTCATGATTTGTGCACCTGTTTCCCCAACTATATCTCTCCCCTTCCATTTCACTTAGTATTGCAACTACAGGGAAGTATCAAAAGCCCTCTTGCACCCTGCTGATACACACTGCACCTTCTACTCATTTCTCTGCTTCTCTTCAGTCACCTACTCATCACAGGTGCTAATGTTACTGTTTCCTACAAAAATTTTTCCTATATTAATTTTGAAAATCTATGACTGTATTCCAAAAGAAGGTCCCTGTTAGGTGCTTTTATAGCACATTATCTCAGTTGGGATAATGGTGTACTGTGTGCTTTCATAGTGTTCAGTTGTTCCAGAAACAGCAGAGAAAATTTGGTGGCTGGGTTCATTCACGCATGTTTTTGGTAGGTGACTGTGCATGAATGCTCTGCTGGGTGTGGTAGCACATGCCTGTAATCCCAGCTACTGAGGAGGCTGAAGCAAGAGGGTCTCAAGTTTGAAGCAAGTTTGGGCAAATGTAGAGAGACCTTGCCTCAAAATGAAAAAATAAAAAGGCCTGGGGATATAACTCACAAGTAGAATGCTTAGTTAGCAAGTGTAAGCCCCGGGATTCAATGCCCAGTACTGCACCAATTAAAAAAAAAAGAGGGGTAAAGGAAGTCAAGCTGTTTGCAAGTGAACCTTCAGTATAAGAGATTCTCCAGAGAAACACAAGCAGTGGCATATAAATATCTGGAAAAAGATTAAGAAATTGGCCCACATGATTGTGGGGACTAACAAGTCTAAAACTTATAGGGCAGGCCAGCAGGCTAGAAACTGAGGCAGAGTTCCTATGTGTCAGTCATAAGAAGGCCACCCTCTTTTGGAAACCTGTCTGCTTTTAAGGCCTGACTTGACTGGCTAGATGAAGCCACTCACATTAGGGAGGGCAATCTATTTTACTCAAATGGCCACTGATTAAAATGCTAGTCACTTCTAAAAAATATATTCACAGCAAACACCTAGACTGGCATTTGAACAAGCAACTGAGCACCACAGCCTAGTCAAACGGATACAAAAAATTGACCATCGCACCTACTGTATTCATCCATGTGGCAATGCTAAGGGAAACAAGCAGTTTTCAATGAAGCAAACTCCATGACTGAGGAAGAATACTTGGGATCTCTTTGTGTAGCCATTTTCCATTTTCTCTAAGTGCAAGGAATTCAAAACTATGGTATAACCTGTAATCTCAAGGTTGTAACAATGGTTCCTGCCATCAAGTAAAATCCAGGCTACATGAGAAAATAATTTCTGTAAACAAAAAACAGACTTGCACTGTACACTAGTTTACTATAAAAGTGTCTACAAAACGTGGATTTTTCTGAAGAGAAGGCTGGGCATTCACAATGACCTCTTTAAGAACACACTGGCAGTTTCCTAGAGGAGCTGACTAGTTCCACTCGAAACCAAGAAGACAATGTTAGAGATAAAAGTTAGCTATAGGCTCTAGGGCAGTGATGGGGAACCTTTTAAGAGATGAGTGCCCAGGGCTGGGGATTTAGCTCAGTGGGTTCTGTTGCCTGTCTTGCAAGCGCAAGGTCCTGAGTTCAATCCCTGGTAGCAAAAAAAAAAACAAGTGCCCAAACTGCAACCCAACACCCACTTATTTATTCCAAAGTGCCAGCACTGCAGTTAAACCAGAATACTGAGGGTTTAGAAAAAAAACTCATACATTAGCACATGTGCCACAGGTTTGCCACCACTGCTCTAGGACAAGATTTTGAAGCAATATTTAACTGCTTGAATGTATTATTTACCTGTTGAGATATCCTTGCTAGATTCCAGAAGAGAAAAGCAAGAGATGTCTAAAGCTGGTATGCCAGAGTATGAAGTAATTATTGAAAATATAGATTAACAGAAGAAAAATATTTAAATGTGGATACAATGCAGACAATGGTAACATCTATTTATATATTTACTTATGGGGGAGGTGGGGACAGGATCTTGCTGAGTAGTTCAGGCTGGCCTTAAATTCACAGCAGTCCTCCTGCCTCAGCCCCAAGTGCTGGAGTTACAGGTATGCACCCCCACATCCAACTTTAAAACACTAAACCTTTTTTTTGAATAGTGTTAGGTTCATAGCAAAATTGAGGATAATTCTCATATACAGATTCTGAGTAACAGGTCACAGTAACACTAGGAAATGCCCCAAGGATTCTCTTACACTTCAGTCTTCCTTACCTCCCCTGTGCCCTCTGCCCCCATGCTCCCCATTATTAACATCCTCACTAGGGTAGCACATTTGTACCAATGCTGCCTTGTAGTGTTAGGCAGAATATAGTTTCACTGCCCTGAAAACCCTGTGTCCTCCCAAATCATCCTTCCCACCCTGCTACCTCTGGCAACCCCATTTCTTTTTATTGTCCCCTTAGATTTGTCTTTTGCAGGCTGTTACGTACTTGGGATTATAAGGTATATGCATTTTCAGACTGGCTTCTTTTCCTTACTAATATACATTGAAGTTTCTTGTCATTTTTATAGCTTGAAAACGCATGTCTTTTTAGCATAGAATAATATTCCATTGTCTGGGTGTATTGCAGTTTATGTATCAATGTTTCAATTTTTTTTTTCTTTTTGGTACCGGAGGTCAAACTTGGGTCCTTTCACTTGCGAGGCAGGTGGTGAAGCCACTGAGCTAAATCTCCGGCCCCAATGTTTTGATTTTTAAAAACATTTTCTCAAGGGCCAAGGATTTAGCTCAGTGGTTTCACCACCTGCTGTGCAAGCACAAGGACCTGAGTTTGATCCCTGGTACCAAACAAACCCCCACTTTCTCAATACATAAACACTTTGAGAATTTAAACCTCATTTCCTCAAGTGTTTCCAAAGAGCTTCCCCTACAATAGTGCTTACTTAGCATTACATTTTCTGTTTTCTTTATTTGTTCTTTCTACTCAATTAGGAATTTGGCCAGGCTCACAAGGGACAGACTATTTATTGAAATGCCTGAATCAAAGAAATAAGACCTCTCTGGTGCCAAAAATGGAGGCTAGATGTTGTCTTCATTCTCTTCACCATAAATGCACTAAATGTGACTGTTTTTAAAAAGGACACAAACACACATATATAAACATACTTATTACATATATTTGTCACCAAGAGATCACAAAGAGGTCACAAAAAAGTAAGCTTACTTTAATTCACAATATAGGTCCTGTGAAAACACATTTCATTTTCTCTGCAGTTTATAATACTCGTATAAATTTAAAGCAGTTAAACACTTCAAACTAAATTGGTAAAAAAAAAATATATAACTTAATAATGCAGACTTCAGAAGTTTGTGAAGTGAAAGACCATGACAGAGAAATATTAAATGTGTAGAATTATCAAACCATAAGAGCATTTTCTTTTACAAAAGCATCCCGATAAAACAAAATAAAAACTAAGGAAAACATAAAGTTCAAATCAGATATTTTGGTTTAGTACTTTCCCTGAGTCTCTTGTTTTTAAAAAGTCAAATGTAAGTAAGGCCATTTCAAATTGACCCACAGGTCTTACCTCCTCCATGCCATGGGGAATACGTTTAAGACAAGAGGCTACACATGCTGAAATGGTCCCAGGGCTTTGAAATGCCAATTTGCCAGTGCTGCTGCCATAGGGTCATCTGAGCCACTGCTGCACATGATCTTAAAGAACTACCAACATTTTATCTTGACCTGCCACTAATATAACCATGAGACTACATACCAAAATCAGATGAATGATTTCAATTAATAAATAGTAAATTTCTAAATGGATTTGCATATTATATACATCAAGTTGTGGTAGCATGACATATAAACAAACACTTTTAAGCTTAAAAAGTCTTACAGAAACAAGAGTTTGTAGGCAAAGCATCCCTATCTACTAAATCTGAAATACAAAAAACACAAACAAAACAAACAAAAAACTTAAAAAAATTCATTAACTCCTAGTAAAACAAAGTGGAAAAAGGTAATTTTAAGTTGATACTTGGATAAGGCCATTCTTACTCTGAAGAAGTAATTGTCTCCTTAATCCTCAAACAAAATTGGCCTCTACTGTTTTATTTGATCACTTAATCTCAATCATAAGTATGTGTATATACATATATACATATACAAGGATTTATGATTCCAATGATCAAGCACTTTAAGGATAATGGGTTTGCTGGAATTTTTAAAAAATGTTTTTATTTCAAATGTATTAAGTTTCTTACTGGACTTGTAAATATTTTAGGTCACATTTTTCTAGTCAAATGTAGGAAAAACATGACCAGACTTAATTTTTTTTTTTTTGGTACTGGGGATCAAACTCGGGGCTTTGTGCTTGCGTAGCAGGCGGCGAAACCACTGAGCTAAATCCCTGGCCCCCAGACTTAATTTTTATAACCATTCTTGGGGCATCGCAAGAACACATGACAAGGATCTGCTGAACTCTACATCTCCCTTCATCACAAAGAAGTTTCAATTACAAACTCATTTCAAAAAAGCTATCATGCACCGTCTCAAAATTTAGAGGTGTATGACACTTTCACATTTCTATTGTTAATTACTGTCAGTACCTCACTGCATAGATGAGTATACTGTGGCACAAAAAGATGTTTCTCTTCTTTTGAAGAGTTACATTTAAAAAAAAATCTTGGGCTGGGGATTTAGCTCAGTGGCACTGCACCTGCCTTGCAAGCACAAGATCTTGAGTTTGATCCCCAGTACCCCCTCAAAAAACATCTTAAGAGTTATCTTAATTTTCAGAAACATGCTTATAATCCCAGTTAGTAGGGAGGCTGAGGCAGGAATATCACAAGTTTAAGGGAGGCCAGCCTGGGAAGCTCAGGGAGACTCTGCCTTAAAATGGGGGGAGGGGGATTGGGGATTTAGTTCAGCAATCGGTGGGTTCAATTCTTAGTACCACTAAAAATAAGTTGAGGATAGACAGGGAAGACAAGGTCAAAACTACAGCCTGAAAGATAGAGACTAGACACATGTGGGCTGAATCAATTCCAAGTTTGTCTGAAATGTTTTATTAACTCAACCTATCTTTTTTGCATCACACCTCCTAGCTGGCTCTAACCTCATAATCTAATCCATTTATGTGGCAAATAGCACTTACATCTGCCTTCTCTGACTGAATGAAAAAGGCTAGCCAATGTAATTAAAATATATATATATGGTGTATTATATATAATGAGCAAGGTTCAATTATAGTATTTGGTACCCTTTTCAGAAAAAAAATCTCAAAATTATAAAGGTAAACGTAAGCATGTGGCATTTTGTTTCATGTACTGAGTTAATAGATAATATGTAACCATTTCTTGACCAACTTTCTATCTTGAAGCCAACATTATCTGCCCCTACCAGTTACCATTCCAGTTCTACAGGGTATTTTCCAGTGAGACAAGCTGTACAATGACCATTATTTTCAAAACATTCCAGACCATTTCCGTTTTGCTGAATCATAATATCATTCCTTTTCACTTTTTGTTTTTTTAATATTATCTCTTCTTGTACAGATGAAACCAGTCCTTCTACTGACAGATACACAACACTGCTTGCTCCTGCAGTGGGAAAGAGCAAAAAATCAAATGGCCATGAGACTTCCTTAGAAAGGAGGAAATGTTTCAATACAGAATAATTACAAACAGCATGACTTAAAGTCAGAACATAACTTTCTCTTTAATCTTTCACTGAAAGACAAGACGGACAAACAGAGATCTCAAGAAGACTCACCACTGATTTTTTACAAATTTTAAATATTTAGCAGATAACAATTGAAACAAATGATGCTACAAGCCTAGAAGGCTTGATGAGTAATTTTTATTTGGGAAACAGATTTTTTTTCAAGGTCTCACTAGATAACCCACACTGGCCTTGAACTTGAGATCTTCCTGTGTCAGCATCCCAAGTGCAGGTATGGATCACCATGCCCGGCTTGAGAAAACACGTTTTTTTTTTTGAGAAAACACTTTTTAAAGACAAGGAAGATTGGGTCTCACATTTAAGCTCAACATCTAATTTACTTTTCCTCAGTCTTTCTTTATAAGTGGGAAATATTATAATGTAGATAACATATGTTCCTGGCATAGTTCCTGGCAAAGAGTATGTGCTCATAGTATGGTATATATGTGGGGGTGCTATTCAGAATATTTAGGCATGAACAGTTAAATAAAATGCCAGTCATAAAAAACCAGTGTGGAGTACCAAGGTACAATAAATAGGACATTCTGTGATATTTAAAGTTTACATAGCCTCTGACTTTGAAAGGCAAAGGTCTTACAATTTTATTTTATCTCATTCCCCCCCTCAAGCCCCCTCCCCTCCCTATGTACAAAAGCTTTGTTTCCATTTTTTCTATTTTCACTTTTTTTCTTGTCCCTTCCTTCCTCCCTCCTCCCTTGTTCTCCTTCCCATTTGAACACTTTCTTCCCATGTCCCAACATCCATTATACATTTCAGTCTTTATTTCCACATTTTTCCTCACACCAGAGAAACAATGTGGTATTTAAACATGTATATCCAATTTATTTCACTTAAGAGTATTTACTCAGGACAATTTAGATATCTTGAGTCTCATTATTGAAGATAAGCTTACCTAAACACTTTAATTTTTAATTTGTATCCATATCCAAATGATTTAATTAGCATCTATAATAAAATTGGTTTTGTTTTTTCTTGGGACCTGACTTTGCACAGCTTTAACTAACTGTTTGCAGTGCATTCTCCCTAGAAACCCTTTCTCCCTTTTCTGGCTTCACAGTGTCTACACACCCACCACACCTGCTTTAAAGAACAGTGATCAACGCCTGAGGAGTGTGCTTGAAAACTGCTTTTTCTTAATGGCTGACAAGCTCTGGATTTTATGTTACTAAACAGTTAAGAATAAAGTCTAAAGAAATATGAATACCTACCAAGATATTCTGCAAGATGACCAAATTCTGGTTTATTGGCAATGAGCTCTTCTTTTGTGGGAATGTTTATTCCCATGAAGCATGGATATCTGACTGGTGGTGAAGCTACTCGAATGTGTACCTTGGAAAGAAATCATTTCACACACTCACAGTAAGAATTACCAAAAAAAAAAAAAAATTACCAACATTTTTTACTGATCAAATACAATATAAAATTGTTCTATAGATTGTATTGTTTTGTTTTGTTTTTGGTACTGGGGATCGAACTTGGGTCCTTGTGCTTGCGAGGCAGGTGGCGGAGACACTGAGCTAAATCCCCAGCCCTATAGAATGTACTGTTGACAGAGTATAGTTAAAAGAAATAAACTGTAGAATTTGTTTCAATAATAACAAGACATTTTTTCCTCTTCAGAATTCCTACATTTCATTTAAGTGGCTTTACACTTAACACAGTGCTGCCCTCATTTTATCTTATAACATCTAAAAGGTACTTCTGCTGACCTCTTATTTTATCAAATTAGAATGATGCCATATGATCTACCAGGTTATAATAAAAAGATTACTACCATAATAGAATTATTTTTGCCTATTAATATTTTTTATATTCCATCAGGTCTATTTACATGGCTATAATCAATGTGCTTGGTTTTTTTTTAACTTTCTCATAAAAGCAAAGATCTGCCCTTGTTATGTAGCCTTCATGTAGTTTTTACATTGTCATCATATTTCATCACACTGACATATCACTTTACTAAACTATTTTTCTACAGGAAGATATTGAACCCATTTCCAGGTTCTTTATGTTTGTCTGCTCTTTCTTACTACTCTTAACAGATGCTGAGTTTACTTTATACTTTTGTTTCTACTACATAATTTTAGGATCCCAAGGTGATTATCTTAATCATAACCAATTTTGAAAGGGTGGAAAATCATAATTATCTTTCAACCTTCTAAATGGACTGTTTTATTGTTTTGCACCTCACTTTCTCCTATATTAGATTTTCTTTTTAGATTTGCTCAATAATTAGTTGTAAATGGCATCTCATTTCTGTAATTTGAACTACTCAAATATTTAAAGTTAGAATGAGCTTTTAAATTTAAAAATATAAGTTAATACAGTCATACCCCAGTATATTATAGGTTTGGTTATAGGAGAATTACATGATTAAGCTCAGTCTGAACAACTTAAGGCCCTGGGTCACAATTAAAAAAAAAAAATGCAGGGGACTGGGGAGGGGGTGCCCTGGGAATGTAGCTCAGTGTGAAAGCCCTGAGTTCAATCTCCAGTATGGCAAGGTGGGGAGGGGAGACAATGGGATTAACTCACTGATGAGTATGTATACAGATGTTAAGTACGAATATGCTGTTGGAAAATGATGTCAACAGACTTACTCAACACAGAGTTGCAGAAAACCTTCAGTTTTATTTTTTCAGTACCCGGGATCTAACTCAGGACCTTGTGCTTTCGAGGCAGGCGTGGTGCCACTAAGCTAAATCCCCAGGCCAACCTTCAGTTTTTAAAAACCACAATACTTGCAAAACACAATAAGCAAAGTATAATATAATGAGGTATGCCTGTATGTAGATACAGTACACGTACTAAAACATGTTATATACCATTAATATATATGTTTGTCAGTTTAAAAAGAAAAGTTCAATCTAAATTTTTTCCAGAGATAAAAGTTATAAAAGGGCCGGGGATTTAGCTCAGTGGTTCTGATGCCTGCCTCGCAGGCACAAGGTCCTGAGTTCGATCCCCTCCCCGGTACCAAAAAAAAAAGTTATAAAATAATTTAATAGGTCAGATTTATGCCTCCAGAACTGGTTCTGGGTCTTCAAACAGAGAAAGTAAGCAGTACTTTATAGTTTGAAAAGCATCCTATGTTGTGGTTTTTGTTACTTTTCAAATTTGTAAAAACTGTAATCTTTTATATTTAGCTTTCTTTAGGATTAAATTTAGTATATAGTCTAACAATGTCTATTCCATGTTTTCCAAATTGCTAGTTTTTCATTAAAAATATCTAGCATGAAAAGTTAATTTATGTTCAACTATCTGTTCAGATTCAATGTACTGAACTCCAATTTTTATGTCAATATCATGTTTTCATTAATAATTGCTGATACTTTAGAACATTTTAATATTACATACCTCTTTTGCACCAGATTCTTTGAGCAATTTTATTATGGGTGAAATGGTATTGCCTCTCACAATTGAATCATCTATAAGAACAATTCTTTTGCCTTTAAAGTTGTCTGACAACACTCCAAACTTTTTTGCAACACCAAGTTGTCTTAATCTCATGTTTGGCTGAATGAAGGTTCTTCCTACATACCGGTTTTTACATAGCACTTCCACATATGGAAGTCCACTCTGATAAACAAGAAATAAAATAGAAATGAGTAGAAATATACAAAATACTCTAGGCTCCTATTTCCCCTAGATTGTGCTGCCACTGTAATATGTAGCTAAAACTTTTCTGTCATTATGTTCTTTTTTTTTTTTTTTTTTGTGGTACTGGGGATTGAACTCAGGACCTTGGGCTTGCGAGGCAGGCACAGTGCCACTGAGCTAAATCCCCAGCCCAATTCATTATGAACTTTCTATCCATCATCACATTACAATTTTCCTTCCACTAGTTTAAACTAGAAGGGAAAAAGGGAAAAATTTCCACTGAAAGGAAAATAGTTTGTGGGAAAACCAACTCACTTGGCTAGAACTCTCTTAAGCATTATTATTCCTCCATCTTGGAAAAGAACAGGCATATGAAAACGTAACAAAGGATCAATGTCAAAAAAAATACTTAAAAATGACTGGCACATGCCTGTAATTCCAGCACTTAAGAGGTATGGGAACAGCCAGCCTGGAGTACACAACCTGCTTTAAAAAAAAATTACTGGCATAAGAAATTAATGGAAAAGCAAAAGAGATGTTTTTTAGGGACAGGAATTTCATTTCTCAAGGTAACTTTCTCTAAAATATATATTCTTTCTTTAGAAACTGGGTGTAGTGGCACATGCCTATCTATAATCCCAGCACTTGGGAGGCTGAGGCTAGGCTGGAGACTTGCTGCAAGTTCGAGGCCAGCCTGGGCTACATAGATAGTGAGATCCTGTCTCAAAAAAAAAGAAAAGAAAAAAAGGGCTGGGGATTTAGCTCAGTGGTTCTGCCGCTTGCAGTGCAAAGTCCCGAGTTCGATCCGGTACCAAAAAAACCCCAAACAAACAACAATAACAAAAAAAAAAGTAGCCAGTTAATTAATTAACTCTCTGCTATGGTTTAGATGTGGTTTTTCCCCTGCAGGTCCATGTATTAAGAGGCATATTGGTCAGTACAGCCAGTGCTGAGGTGGTTGGTGTAAAATCTTTAAGAGGTGGAGCCCAATGGGAGGCCTTGAAGTCAGAAAGGATTAAAGATTAAAGCAGTTCTCATGACATTCAGAACTGCTCCCTGCCTTTCGCACTGACCCCTGCCATTATGGTGCCATTGCCATGAGGCCTTCCCCCAAAGCAAGCAGATGCTAGCATCACCCTGGAACTTGCAGAACCATGAGCTAAACAAATCTCTGTTCTTTACAAAGCTACCGAGCCTCCCACATACTTTGTTATACAGTAATAAAAAGCTAATAAATACTGGGTTTTATACCCTCAGGTCACTAGAGCTACATAATCAGTTATGGAAAATGAAGTCACATAAAATGAAGATAAACAGTTCTGTTATTACCCATACTCAGAAGGAAACAGACATACTAGCAGCTGGTGAGAGTACTTCAGGAAGATTTTATGGAGGATGGAAAGAGAAGTAAAAAGAATTAAGATGTGTTATGTACATGCACCAGCTCCCCATGATGAATGTAATAAATGTAATCAATATGTATTGAAAATTTATAAAAAAATTTTTAAACATCTATAAATGGCCAATTAAATAAAGCAAAAAAAAAAAAAAGATTTTAGTAATACAGGTTGAGTGTCCTTTATCTGAAATGGTTGGCATCAATAGGACTTCAAATTTCAGATTTTGCAACATTTGCATATACAATGAGTTATCCTGGGGTTAGGAGCCAAGTCTACACATGAAATTTGTTTCAAGTACTTATACACCTTATAGTACACATATACACAGCACAATACTTTTACTGTGCCTGTGTTTTGCCCATGACCTATCACATGAGGTTAGACAAAGACATAGACTTTCCCACTTGTGGGATCAGGTTGGTTCTCAGAAAGTTTTGGAATCTGGAGCATTTCAGATTTTGGATTTTTTTTATTAGCCTGTTCAATCCATATTACCTTCTTTTTATAGGCCTTGATTTATTATTCCTCTACTAAGAGAGGAATTCACTGTATTCTAATTAAGAGAAAATACCTTTTTTGCATAACCAAGAGCAGCAGGTGTGGCAGATTCTGGAACAGTGCTAACCAAATCTGCATCCACAGGTGCTTCGATTGCCAGTTGCTGACCGCAGCGGTATCTCACTGTATAAACCATTTGGTCTGGTATGTTTGGAAACAGAAACAGATGATTTTACTTAGCATAATGTAATATTGCTATTCTAAAAAGCTAGTGCTAGAACAGATGGAGTATGAAAAGAAAAGCGATACATACAAAATAAAATGGAAATACAGCAACTGGGAATTTAACTGTGTTGTATTTTAAAAATCTGACCTTCATGTACATCTGAAAATCATAACTCTTACTCCTCAGAGAAAAATAAAGTCTAGCCAGGTATGGTATCACATGCCTGTAAGTCCAGCACTCTGGGAAACTGAGGCAGGAGGCTTGTAAGTTTAAGCCCAGTCTGGGAAACTTAGCAAGACTCTATCTCAAAATTAAAAAGGCAAAAGAGCTGGAGATATAGGTCAATCCTGCAAAAATATTTTCACAACATACAGAGTCCGCCAAACAAATCTATACACACTTCAGTAGTTCGGCATACTAATAAATGCCTGGAAGCTAATGGCCACCACTTTGAGGACCTCTTGTACTTGTAAAGGCCAAAGGTAACTTGCATGAATCTCATGATGTCTTAGCATATTTAAGGTATTAGTATTTATACAAGTTTTTCTATTCCTGATTTTTTTTTAGGCAGACTCTGTATAACCATGCACCTTCAAAGAGCCAGGTAAACCTCTGGGCCTAGAACTGCCATATTTAAGTGAAATTAATGAAAGATTTATATGACTAGCAAAAAAGAAATTTGCTTACCTTCAAACATACTATCTGGTCTTGCAAAATAAACATATTCAAAGATACAAAAAGCCACTGGGTTTCCTTCAGACCTTGATACGGTATCAAGAATTTGGACACCATGTCTGGATATTTCCACAATTTCCCCAGGTAAGATTTCACGGTAGTATCTTGGGAATTGATATTAAAGAAAGATTTTTAATAAACTAGTACTTACAGCTGATGAGAACATCAATTATAAAGCAGACTCTCCCCTCCCTTATAGAGAGAAATGTACTAATTTAATGTAAAGTCTAGAGATGGCTTAAAAAGCAAAAAGAAATATTCCTTTTTCCTGTAGTTTCTATAAATCTTTCTGTTACCCCTAAGTCAGTGGTAGTGAGCCTATGGGATGCTTGTTATTTTTCTTTTAAAACAAAAGATGTTAATGAGTTTAACTGGAGTCAGTGTTGGCACTTTGCAATAAACAAATGGGTTTGAGGGTCGGGGATTTAGCTCAGTGGTTTCGCTGCCTGCCTTGCAAGCGCAAGGGCCCAAGTTCGATCCCCGGTACCAAAACAAAAACAAACAAAAAAATGGGTTTGGGTTGCAGTTTGGGCACTTGTCTCTAAAAGGTTCACCATCACTGACCTAAGTTCTAATTTAGAATTTTAGAATTCAGGGTCCTGTATTTTATTGAACTTTGAAAATGTAAAGGGTAATGAGAATTTTTTTTTTGGATGGGGGTACCAGGGATCAAACTCGGGTCCTTGAGCTTGCAGGGCTGGCAGCGGAACCACTGAGCTAAATCCCCAGCCCCAAGAATATTTTAATACTACCTAAAGTCCTATCATAATTACTCCTCGATAAGAAAGTTCTCCTTTTTTTTGGTACCAGGGATCGAACTTGGGACCTTGTGCTTCCAAAGCAGGCGGCAGAACCACTGAGCAAAATCCCTGGCCCAAGTTCTCCTTTTCTAAAATATGTCTGGTATTTTGAAAGAAAGATGACAGTCTGGAACTGGTAGGTATTACCGGAACAATAAAGTCAGTACAGCTGCTGAGTACAACATACTTAACAAAACATATCTGTCTGCTTACAGACACTGGAAAGAAAGCTTTCCTGTAAATATCAACAAGAAAGCTTCACTTTTAAATTATAAACTATATCCCCCCCACTCCTTTTGAGATAGGGTCTTGGTGTGGTCTAGGCTAGTTTTGTATTCCTGAGCTCAAGCAATCCTCCTGCCTCAACTTCTTGATTACTAGAATTAGTGTTATGCACCATCATTCCCAAATAATTTTTTATCAATATGGAAAAAGGTAAAATTCTTAATGAGGTTAAAACTTACATTGCACCGATAGATAGAAAGCTACAAGATTCTGAAGACACTACCCATCCTTCTGTTTCTGATGTTTTTTTCTCTGAAAATTACAAGATGATCAATTCAATTAATAGAGTCAAGAAAATTTTTAAAAGAGGCTATTTCAACAGATTAAACACCAAACAGAAGTAAAAAAGCTCACAGAATAGCTATTTCTATGCTGTTAAAAACATATGGATCCCCATTTTAACTTAGGCTAAAGACAAAATAATCCCCTAAGATTCCTTCTAGTACAATACAATTTCTTGCTTGAGTAATACATCTCATTAGTAAAAAAAAAAATCACTAAAATCATACTGCAGAAATGTAAAGGCTAAGGAAAGGACATGAATAATTAATTTAAACAGAAAAAAATGACAATGTCCATTAAATACATTAAAAGCAACTTAGACATAGTCAAAAAATGTACTTTCTAAGCTGAAAATATCATTTCTTTTCTTTATTACCTATCTATTCTCACCTATAAGGTTCCTGTATCTAAAGATTTCAAGGTTCACCAGCAGTAGTGCAATGACTTTGCAAAGCATTATGGAATTATATTCCTTCTGAGGTTCATTACCTTTGTCATTTATATCAGAACCTGGAATAAGACGACCAATGCACAGAGGCCGAATTCCATAAGGGTCCCGTACTGCGTATATAACATCTCTGTACATTATAAGCAGGGAGTACGCTGTGGGTGCCTCCTTCATTAAGTTTTTAATCCTGTAATTAATTAATTAATTAATCACTTCAGGTATAAACATATTCAAGGCAAAGGTCTCATTGTGAGATCTGCATATACAGTCCAATTTTGTTTTGTTTTGCTTTTGTGGTAGTAGGGATTGAACCCAGGACTTAGCACAAGCAAGGCAAGTGCTCTACCACTGAGCTACATCCCCAGCTAGCACAGTCTAGTTTTACAATTACCTTGCTACCCAGTCTGGGGTGTCATCTTGCTCCTGAGGAGGGGTATACGCCAGGAGCTGGGTAATCATTTCACTATCAGAGCTTGTTGACAGACCAATACCATGACGCAGAAGCTAAACAGAGAGAGAAAAGTTCCATCACCAGAGGGGAAGCTCCACTTTCCCCTGCACCCAACAGCCCACCATCCTAGAAAAGAAACCAGGCATTTGGCAGATACTTAACTGGGTAGAGATGAAGTCTATCAAGGAAAAGGGCTTTTATCGGGAAAAAATGTGCTAGATATTATTTAGAATTGCACTCTCAGTGGTTATCTATACATGATAAACGTTTTAGTAATTTTTCCTATCTATACTTTTGTGACTGAATTTTTTTTTTTTTTTGGTAGCAGGGATTGAACTCAGGACCTTGCTTTTCCAAGTCAGGCGGCAGAACCACTGAGCTAGATCCCTGGCCTGTGTGACTGAATTTTTAAAATGAACTATTATTTTCTCATTCATGTACAGAAATGTATATTACAGTCATTATGTCATAGACTATGAAGAGGGTGCAGCAAAGCTTGGCGAAATCCCTAAAGCTAGAATTTAAATAGGATCATGAGTGATACAGTATCCTGGGTTCTAGGTATTTTTGACCCACCAGTTCATCATCATTCAACTTCCAGTAATTGCTTATCCTATGTGAAATGTTGGCTCTAAAATGGTAAAAGGATAATATTGCGTCTAACCATAATTTTATTAATTACTGCCTGGTCCAAGGTTACCAAATCAAGATTATTGGAATTTAATGAACTGAAGAAACTAGGCATCAATTAATAAATGGCATATAAACTATGAACCAAAAAAGAACTATCAACAAGGTAAAGACATCATATAATTTAGAAAAAGAACAGGAACTGATGTGGGTATAAACACAGACAAACCATTAGCATAGAAAGCTTCTAACATGTTGTGAACAATGTGTTTAAGTAAAAGCTCTTGGTCTGGCAATTTAGCTCAGTGGTTCTGCCGCCTCCCTCGCAAGCACAAGGTCCCAAGTACCATCCCTGGTACCCCCGAAAAAATAAAATAAAAAATTAAATAAACGCTCTTCATCCCTGCTCCCAGATTCTATCTAATTGGCTATAATTCTTTCAAAGTGATTTTTCTCATGTATCATCTTCAAGTTTACACATCATTTTTCTTCATATGCTTCTCTTATGGTATAAGTACATTCAGATTGAGTTTGCATAATTTAAAAATCCAAATGGCACCGCACCTGCCTCGCATGTGCAAGGTTGTGAGTTCCATCCCCAGTATCAAAAAAAAAAAAAAAAATCTGAAACTCTGAGTGCCAAAGAGATGCCACAAATGCAAATTACATACCATGAAGCTTTGTTGCATTTGCAAGATTAAAAAAAACACAACAAAAAACCACAAATCTACCTGAAGTTTGTGTGTATAATTTATAAAGTATAATTGTGTGTTTAAGCTTGGTCCCATCTCTAAATTATCTCATTATGTATATGCAAATACGCCAAAGTCAGAAATCTGAACTGAAACACTTCTGGTCCCAAGAATTTCAGATAAGGAATACTGGAAAGAAAAAGATAAGGGGGCTGGGGATTTAGCTCAGTGGTTTCGCCGCCTGCTGCGCAAGCACAAGGACCCGAGTTCAACCCCCGGTACCAAAAAAAAAAAAAAAAAGAAAAAGATAAGGAAAGGTGAAACTATTTTTCACTTTTTTCTTAATGTGACAGATAAGAAGAAATATGTATTATGGTCATTCCTTGGTATCGATGGGAATTGGTTCTAGCACCCCTGCAGAACCAAAATCTGTAGATGCTTAAATCCTTTATTAAAAATGGTATAAGAGGGCCGGAGATTTAGCTTAGTGACATCATGCCTGCCTCGCAAGCACAAGGTCCTGAGTTTGATCCCTGGTACCAAAAAACAAAAAAGGGTATAAGATTTGTATATTACCTAAGCACATCTCCTATGTACTTTAAATCATTTCTGGATTACTTACCATACCCAGCAATGTAAACACTATATTAGTTGCTATGTTGTTCAGGGAATCATAGGAACATGTTCAGTACAGAACGAATTTTCTGACCTCCCCACCACAGATCATTTTTGATTGGTATCTGGAGTAGGGGGAAGAGGCAAACCCAACTCTATGTTGATCTGTGGCCTGGGGCTCTTTGCTCCTAGAACTGCTGGAAACACCAAAATCAGTGTATTTTATATGATAATGAGATCACTGGTGCCTAAGGGTTCCGAAACAGCCTCAGAAAGGGAACTGGTCATCAGTGGAAACCTCCCTATGATTAGAGGGTCGAAACTTTCAGCCTTACACCAGACCTCCCAAGGGGGAAGGATAGGGGCTAAAGGCTAAGTTGATCACCAAGGTCAAATGCTTAATCCATTATGCTCATTTAACAAGGCCTCCATAAAAACCCAAAAGGAATGTGTTCAGAGAGTTTCCAGATAGCTGAGCACTTGGTAGTGCCTAGCACAGAGGGTGGTTCCCAAAGGACATCAAAGCTCCTTGCCTTTTTCCATATAACTAGCCCTATCCTCTCTTCATCTAACTATTCTTTTGTATCCTTTATGATAAACTGGTAAATATAAGTAAATCACTTTCCTGAGTTCTGTGAGCTACTCTAGCAAATGACTGAAAACAAGGAGGGAATGTGGAAACTCCCAATTTGTATTAAGTAGGTCAGAAGTACCGGAGGCCTGGACTTGTGACTGGGATCTGGAGTGGAAGGTAGTTTTATAAGAATAAGCTCTTAACCTATGTGATCTGACCCTAACTATAGGTTGAACTGATTATAGGACACGTATAGATGGCGTCATCTGGGAGAATGGATGTGGAGAAACCACCACATTTGGTCACAGAAGTGTGTTAAGTCTGAGGGTAGGAAAAATAGTTTGGTTTTCCCTATCCCATCCCATCTTCATATATAGGAACACAAAGCTTCAAGGGATAATAAGAGCCCATAACTCCTATCTTCTGTGTGCTTCTAATAGCAACCATCAATCAACTTTCCCAAATCTCAACTTTTTAAAGCAGCAATTCACCTTAATAATATAGTAAAATGTCCCCAATTCTCTTAGAATCTGGAATCATAACAAGTACTCCAGATAATTCTTACACAACTGTTAGCCACAGTTACATAACAGATGGCAGCAATTACATAAAATGTCCTTTGCCAAGATGTGTGCTTTCTTTACATTAATTCCAAACATGAAAAAAAATCTTACCTTTTTCCTTAACCGAGGAGCATTTACCAATTCACCATTATGTGCCACAGCTATTTTCCCATGGAGTGTTTCTACAACAAAGGGCTGGCAATTCTCTAATTCACATCTTCCTGTAGTGGCATATCTTGTGTGTCCAATTCCAAGATTTGAAACATATAATTTCTTCAAATTGTCTTCAGTAAAAACATGATTTACAAGACCCATTCCCTGAGAAGTCAAAGTAAAAAAGTATCTTATCGAAACAGAAACCAGTGCTACTATGGAGTAATAAAAGCCCATCTGCTAGGGAATCAAAGGATAGCACAGGTCACTTGATTTCTCTGTACCTCACAATTCTAAACTTAGGAAAAAAGGCTAAGCTAACACTAAGAACTTTGAAGCATTCACTTTAAAAATGTACACTGAGGTGAAATTCAAAATCAGCCAATTTTTACAGTGAATAATTTAGTGGCATTTGGGACATTCATGATGTTGAAGCATCTGATTTTTTTTTCTTCATTAGTACTGGGGGATCGAACTCAGGACCTTGTGCTTGCTAGGCAGGCACTGCACCACTGAGCTACATCCCCGGCCCAGAAGCATCTGATTTTTGATACCTCATTAACACATTTAGTTTTTGTTTTGGTACTGGGGACCAAACTCAGGACCTTGAGCTTGCGAGGCAGGCAGTAGCACCACTAAGCTAAATCCCCGGCCCAACACATTCAGTTTTGTGACAGACTTTGTTAAGGAACAGATATGTACTAAGACAACAAAATTTGTTAAATATAAATGAAAGTTTACATTTTACAAAAATCAAAGCATCTAGAAGCATTTAAATAAATGGCTTCAGCCATGGATTTAGCTCAGTGGTACTGTGCTTGCCTTGCAAGCCCAAGGTCCTGAGTTCGATCCCCAGTATCAAAAATAAAAACTAACTAACTAACTAAATAAATGGCTTCCTGCTCAAGTTAGACAGCAAACAATGTGAAAGAAATACTTCCTAATTTGACAAATCATTGACAAATGTTAGAATGTAAAGTTGGAAATGGATGATCCAGAGTATTACTCCTAATTGCAATTTGTTTACTCAGGACTCCTTTCCCCAAGGTGATATTAATGATCACCTGGCTGGCAATTGTTATTTTTATCAACACTGTTTAATGTTCAAATTTACCTTATGCATTTTGAACGCTGGCACTGAACTCCCATCACTGGTCACAATACCAGCACTCTCTTGACCCCTGTGAATATATAAGGATATTAACTGTTACATCTGCCCAAATGATAAACTTTTTGAATTTTATCAAACATACCTTTCTTAACAAGCATCATAAACTACCTGATAACACATTAATGCTATGCAGAATGCTAGCACTTCTATTGATGATGCTGATGATTAGCAATAGCAGCAAATTACTTTAACAAGATGATATTGTCGTCCAGTTCTAACTAGTATGCCAGGTACTGCCCTAAGCATTTTTCACATGAATGATCTAATTTGGCTTTCACAGCAATCCTATGAGGTAGTTACCATAATTACCATTCCCATTGCACAGAGCAGCACACTAAAGTGGAAAATAACTTGCCAAATGTCAGAGTGAGCAGGTGATACAGCTAAAATTACAAAACGGACAATTCAATTCCAGAATATGGAGTTCTAACCTCTGTACCAATTAAGTCAAATAAAGTGTCAAAGGGCTGAGGACATAGATGAACGAGGCGAGAGTGGCACAAAGTCTGTGAAAGAGCAAGAAATTAGGTGGACAGACTTGACCTCTCAGTCCATCAGAACACTATTCCCTTGGAAATGGACTCTCGCTTCCTCTCTCATGGACGGATTTTTTCAAAAAATATATAGATAGAAGGGCCAGGGATTTAGCTCAGTGGTTTCGCTACCTGCTGCGCAAGCGCAAGGACCCGAGTTCAATCCCCAGTACAAAATATAGATAGATAGATAGATAGATACAAATGTTAAAAATTTAATAGGGCTGAGGACATGGCTCAGTGGTACTTTCCTTCAAGAGACCTCATTTGATCCCCAGTACCACAAAAAATAAAGTCTGCTTCTGAAAAATCTTCTGCTGCCTAGGCACCCTTTCCCATGTTTGCACCTCATTTCCTGCATTAATAATTTTAAGTAATATGATTGAAAAGAAAAACCCCAAAGCCTGGCATGGTGGTGCACCCCTGTAATCTCACCACTCAGGAGGCTGAGGCAGGAGGATCACCACAAGTTTGAGGCCTGCCTGGGGTATATGGTGAATTCAAGGCCAGCCTGAACTACATAGAGAGACCTTGTCTCAAAAAAAATAAAAAAATAAAAAAAATTTAAAAAACCCCCAAAACCAAAACCCAAAAAACACCAAAACCCAAAACCCAAAGGCTAGACTGGAGATAGGGTAATACACAGTAACACAGTAAGACTCAAAGAATCTACACCAGCGTGGAGCATAAACTCAAATTAAATAAAGGCTCCGACTACTCAATAAGTTTTAACAGTTCTGAACAAGTGCTATGAATACTAGATGATCACTGCTAAATTTCTCTTCCAAAGACCGCTTATCAAAGTAGAAATATAAGGTACACCCCTCCCATATGAGTATGCATACTTTTAACAATTGGTAATATGTTGATTCATTTAAAAAGGATTTTCCCCCTAAAATTATATATTGTAATTAAGGCATTTTATTAATGATAAAAATGACAAAATATTTTATTTTTTATTTTATTTTTTGCAGTACCAGGGATCAAAATGACAAAATATTTTAAAAGTAAAAATCAAAAAATGAAATGATTTTACTGAATTATCAATGGATTAAATTTTAAGTTGGATATAAAATATGCATAATCCTATAAGCCCTATGAAATTAAATCATGACCTAGCATTTATTTAATGAAATACAGTGGACCTTCAAGTTACGACCGGCGTGACATCCAAACAACTTGGGTTAATTAGTTAATGGAAGATTCATCTGACTCTTGTTATCTACAGCATATACCCAGGTAAACATCTAGATCTCAGCTGTCTTGACTTAAAACCAGCCCTTAGGAACCAATCAAGTTCCTAAGAGTCCACTGCAATGTGGTCTTTAAATTAACCTACAGAAGACCAGGTGATTCATGTCACAGAAAAAAATATAAACCTCATAAAAATGTTTTTTAATATACAGCTATCAACATTTGCTATAAAAAACAAAAACCCTTTGCCAAACATTTCCCAACAATTTTTTAGAAATCAACAATCATTTGGTAACAAAAATGGTTTTCTTTCTCTTTTGTCTCAAGGGTAAATTTTCCTTGAAGCTATCATCATTTAGCTCCCAGCTTCTTTATTCACAAAGCCTGCTTATTTGGCAGTTCCTCAAACTACTTCCTCCGGCAGCCTTAACCAGTTAAGTTAGATCTTTTCCAGCTTTTAGTGGCTTATTGACAACCAGCCTTCTGGTTTCCTAGGAAACAAAACTGTTGCCTAGAAATAGTGAATCATTTCCAGGTCACTTTCAACATGGAGAATGGAACAGGCAAGCACTGGACTGAGGAAGAGGTTAAAGCTCTGGTAAGTATCTGGGCAGAAAAACATACACGACAACAACTTTCTGGAACACTGGGAAATAAAGGGATATTTATTTACGTTGCTAAAAGGCTGCAGTCACTAGGCGTTTGGAGAGACTGGAAACAGTGCCAATCAAAGTATAAAAATCTCAAACATGAATACAGAAGTTAAATATGCCCACAAATCCGGAGACAGGTCTAGGATGAAGTTCTTCCATGACCTGGATGCCATCCTGCAGTGCGAACCTGCCACACCATTATCAGAGGATGCAAACACCAGGTACCTGGCAACCCAGAGCTCAGGCGCAGTTCCAGAGACCACTGAAGGTAAAAAGAAAAAGTACTGTTCTTTTGTTTTACAGTTTTACCAACTGGAAGAGGGTAGGACTTGTGTCTTCGTGATAAATATAGCCTCAAATATCAAGGTTAAAAAAGAATCCCAACTCATACTGTTTTACACATGGAAAGATTAAAAAGAGGTTGGGATGGGCCAGAGATTTAGCTCAATGGTTCTGCCACCTGCCTCGAAAGCTCAAGGACCCAAGTTCAATCCTCTGTACCAAAAAGTAAAAAATAAAAAAATAAAAAGAGGTTGGGAACTATCACTTTACATCTGTGAAATACAGAAAAAGCATATTAAAATGGCATTAACTGCTAGTGCCAACTGTATATGGTTTTGAAATATGGACTGGGTTCTAAAAATTCCAGGTTTTCATTTTAAGGGCCAAAAAAGAGAAAATATCAAAAATACTGTTCAATTTTTTTCCCCCCAAAGCTCCAAACAAGACACAACTTTCTGCTCCATTTTAACTTAGCATTTTCCTAAATTTATAAATGAAAGCACTAAAATACAAAGAATTGATAACACTTCATTACTTGTTTGGAAGAAATGCTCCATTGTAACAAGTAAAATAAAAATAAGTGTAATAAGTGAATGGTTGAAGATTTAATAATTTAGATATTAAACCAAGTTTCTGATCTGCTGCACTGTTAAGTCCAACACTATATACAAAGAATCTGCTCACTGTCTATGCAAGCAGTATGCACCATTATGCAAAGGGGAGAACCAATGGTGAAGAGATTTCCCTCACAGCTGAAGTCTCACAGCTGCTATTTTTAGGAACAGAGTTGTTCAAGTATCTGTAACACCCACTGTCCGTACATAGCACGCGCAAAGCACTGAGATACACATATTCAGTAATATGAAACCTGGAAAGGAGAGGAAAGGTTCCAAATGTGATGAGGGTTAAGATGACAAAAATTACATACAGTTCAGTTAATGTGGATTAGCTGAACTTCCATGTTTACAGCTCAATCATAAATCATTTTAACAAAAAAAGTCCACCCCACTTATAAAGATCCTTTCTATCTGTGATACACACCAGATGCCACGAAGGTTCTTCAGTCATGACCATGTTAAACAGCAGCTCCGATATTTTATGCAGGTCATCACTCTGGACTCTTATCATTTAGATGCTTTAAACACTGACTAATAAAAGTCACTTAGCTCCTGAAAGTTCCTGATTTTAACCCAAGGTTTGTCTGATGAAGATGCTAATACTTCCACTTCAGCAATATTCTAACCCTTTCAGGTAATCCCTTCGATCCAAACTCCTTAGTTTCACTCAAACAGAAGGGGCCCATGAATATTTACAACTTAGCCATCTGTATTTATGGACCTTCACAACTCTCCCCCAAAAAACTGCTCTTCCTACAAATGGCTTCCACTTTAGTATCCCGTATTTCCAATCATGCATGTAGAAATGTTTGTGCTAGCTTTAATTTTTGGTCAGTCACTTAAATGTTCAAAATATCTACAGACATGCTTCATGGAAGTTTCTCTTCGCTCCATTCTCATCCATCATCCCTCACAAAGAATATTAATGTAACCCCTTAGAAGTCATTTATAGATGCTGGGGTCTAGATTTTATCGTAATTAAACAAGAACATAAAACCTGAGAAAAAACACAATGTGGGAATCAACCAATATGATGTCAAGAGTAATATCAATTAATGTTATTAACATAAAATGAATTGAAGGCACTATTGAGTATTAGAGGATTTACAATTAGAGTCACATTGCCTAGGAATAAGACATTAAAAAATTTCTGACACATTTCTCTACCATTAAAAGAACAACATAATTAATAATAAAAAATAAATAATAACACAATAAGTAAATAAATGAAAAAAGACAGGCATGGTGGCACACATCTGTGATCCCTGCTACTAGGGCATATGAGGCGGGAGGATGTCAAGTACAAGGCCAGCCTGAGCAACTCAATGGTCTCAAAATGAAAAATAAAAAGGACTGGGACTGTAGTTCAGTCGTAGAGTACTCTGTGTTCAATCCCCCAGTACTACAAAAATAAATAAGCAAATAAAGTTTCACATAGTGTCATTCGGTCTGTCTCTAATTTCCCCAAGGACTAAGTAAGCACTGAATGTCATGTGTGGCTTTCCCAAGCCCTCTCTGCTCATAAGCACCCAGAGTGTGCACAAGAATCATAATCTGGAGATGAGGGATGAGAGAGGCACTAAAGTAATTTTTACACACTCAAGAGATTCCAATGTGTAGCCAATGGAAATCACTTGACAAAGAAAAAAAAAAGGAATTGTTTACACCTCTCCTGTCTCAAAAAATCAACAAGCCATTTTCTATAAGCAACTTATAAAATTATATGTTCAA